TGGTTGCTGTAGGGGTGGTGGTGCACGTCTGGTTGCTGTAGAGGTGATGGTGGTGCGGGTCTGTGGTTGCTGTAGAGGTGGTGGTGGTGCGGGTCTGTGGTTGCTGTAGAGGTGGTGGTGGTGCGGGTCTGCGGTTGCTGTAGCGGTGGTGGTGCGGGTCTGCGGTTGCTGTAGCGGTGGTGGTGCGGGTCTGCGGTTGCTGTGGCGGTGGTGGTGCGGTTGCTGTGGTGGTGCGGGTCTGCGGTTGCTGTAGCGGTGGTGGTACGGGTCTGCGGTTGCTGTAGCGGTGGTGCGGGTCTGTGGTTGCGGTGGCGGTGCAGGTCTGTGGTTGCTGTAGTGGTGTCAAACACATAAAGCGTCTCGATGCTCACACGGTGGAGCATTAAATCAGTTGAGGAGGAGACAGTCTGACGTACTGAGTTCGAATAATAATAATTAGTCACCATCATGTTGTAGTGTTTGTACAGTAGATCTCATGACGTGTTCATGGTTCATAAACTGTGTTGATGTAGAAATATCTTCTCATAAATGGCCTCCAGCTAGTCAGTAGAACCGGTTTAGTAGGTTGTGTTTATGTATCATTAGCAGCTGCTCCAGGATCTCCTTCTATATCTTTATATATAAAGTGTTGGGTAACAGAGGTCCAGATGGATGCAGGTATTTGTGGTTGAATAATTGGATCTGATTGTTAAACCTGAGTCCATCCATCTGCTTAATGCATTATATTATATTGTAATGTATTAACTCATTCATTCATCATACATCAATTAAAAGCACAATGTAACCGCAGTTGCCCCAGTGCATGCTGGGAGGCTTCCCAAACACATGACCAGCCAATCACATGAATGGTGATCATGGTTTCACCTCTCTACTGAGGCTGCCTTTATTTCAAAATAAGAGCGCACTGTTATTCAACATAACTTCATCCAGGACTGACTCTGTCTATCTCTTTCTGTCTGTCTCTCTCTCTCTCGGTGTCTGTCTCTCTCTGTCTGTCTCTCTCTCTCTATGTCTATCTCTCTCTGTCTGTATCTCAGCTGGAGGAGTGCACCCTTCAGTTGTCTCCTCATGGAAACTACCTGGACCTGGACTCGTCTCTGGCTGAGCAGAGAGACGAGCTGGAGAGCTTCTATGCAGACGTGACGTAAGAACACCTTTACCTGTCCTCTGTCATGGCCGACCAGTTAGACTGTGAATGTTTTTAAAGTAATACTCCACCCAACACAACTCTATGGTGTAGAGGAGAAGTAGCAGTACATGGAATACTAAGTGTGTGTGTGTGTGTGTGTGTGTGTGTGTGTGTGTGTGTGTGTGTTACAATGACCTAAAAACATCTCAAGATTGTTCCTTTTTTAGTCGTAGATAAACACACGCTTTCCTTTTTTCTCTAGTTTCCCTCAGTCTCTTTCCCTCCCTCCCTCTCTCTGTCCCTCATTCTTTCCATACCTCCATGCTGTGGTTCTTTCCGTCCTCTAATCCCAGCAGCCACAGTCTGCTTGCGTAGGTTGATGTGTAAACTGAAATGATCTGGGATCACTTCAGTCGTATCTTCCTGCTGTAAATTACCAGGTCACAAAGTCACAAAGTTACCAGGTCACAAAGTCACAAAGTTACCAGGTCACAAAGTTACCAGGTGACAAAGTTACCACGTCATCACATCACAAAGTTACCACGTCATCACGTCACAAAGTTACCAGGTCACAAAGTTACCAGGTCACAAAGTTACCAGGTCACAAAGTTACCACGTCATCACGTCACAAAGTTACCACGTCACAA